AGTTTCAAACATTTGCACTTCGAAAGGAAGCAGGAAACACTATTTGTTTCAGAAAATAATTAATAGGCAAAAATTTCCAGAACCAAGTATTATTAGCATTTAGAGGCAGCAGAACCTTTTCTCCTTTGTAAGATCTTCTCCCCTCCCCATACTTTGTATTTTCTTCTCTCTTTAAAAAGGGGCTGGAATTGCCAGAGAGCCACAAGTCTAAGGAAAGCATTTTGACTTTAATAGTAAAAAATAGCCCTGAGAAGAGGTATAAAAATCAAATTCAGTAAAAGTTTATGGGTTTGGCTTTTTTTTAATATATATATGGCCAGGAAAATTTGGTCAAAGAAGGTCTTACATCCCTAACACTGGCACTGTCAGCATGGTAGAGCTGTTACCTTCAAGAAAAGAAGAGATATAACCAAACATACAGAAAACAGGGTCAGCAATAAAAAGAAAAATAAAACAAAACCCCCTTGTGCAGTCTCTCTGTGGGTATGCCAGATTCAACAAAACTTGATTGCAAACTTTAGGAAGGTTCAAGTGATGCTCAGTACCACAAACCTTGTCCAGGGAGGGTTTGGTAACAGGGAGCTCCAGGAAACTCCTCAAAATATTAATCCCAGCTGGGTAGCTCACTGCCAGGTTTGGTGTGGAATGGTCAATATAAGTGTGACTCAAAAAAACACATCTAAGGTTCCCAGGGGGTGCAAGGTGAGAAATCTTAAATTTTCGTATGTTAGCAAAATAAGGGTAACATGTGGCAAAACCTTAGGGTGCATGGACAATGTAGTTATATAAGATGTTTACAATCTCAGATTATTTTTAGTTTCAGGGGTGAATACACAAGCTCTCAAACACAAGAAGAAAAGATCCCTTCAAGCTCAGCTTAATTTCTTTCACAGGAAAACCACTGCAAATATTTCTGCTTTGTTTTACTCCTTAACAGCCATGGAAGATTTTACTTAAAAATACTTTTTGTTGTTGTTCTCTTTAAATTCAAATTATATGGTGCCTGGAACCAAATATTGCTGCACCTTGCTAGTATAAAAGAGTAAGAAAGGAGAACTAGGCCACCTATTTTCTTTTTCCAGGTGAAGGAAGCATGAAATATAGATCACAAATAATTAACATTATTGACATTTATTTATTTATTAAACAATTTGTTCATATTATTCAAGAGAGCAATAAAAAGTCATCATGCTTAACAAACATTTCCTATCCTGTCCAAATGTTTATAACACAGAAGAATAGCAATACTGGGCCAGTTGAGAAGACCATGTCTGAATCTGAACCCTGCCAGTGCCTGCCAGCCAGGCCCTGAGCAGGGAGAACAGGGATGGGGCAGCACACAGGGACACCTCTGGCACAGCCACCTGACTTTCAACAACCTGTGCTTTATGCATTTTCTAAGCCAGAGTTTTTCTGTTTCATTTTACTGCTTTGCTCTGAACACCAGCACTGTTTTCTCTTATTTCAAATTCTCTATAATTGACCTAACCATTTCTTGACCAAACTTAAAAGCTCTGCATATGCTTGCAGTACCTCCTTGCACAAGGAGAGGGGATGGGCTCCATTAAGCCTGAGACAAATTATCTCAAACAGGATCCCTTTCTTTTGAACACATTCTCTCCCACTCTCCTGTTCTAACAGCATCAATTCCAACTCTAACAAGTAGCAGCTTGTAGGACACTCATAGGGCAGCTCTAAGGTTGAAGGATCCATGCTTGACTCTGCTGCCTGTTACACAACCCCTTCCAGTATCCTACAAACATCACTAGATGTGCCTCCACTTGCTTCATCTCCTGGGATGTGTGGCTTTGGGACAACTTAAACCAGAGATGTTCTTTCTATGCTTTCTCTGTTGATAAATTCGGTGGGCAGCTGAGAATTAATCCCAGGATTGTTGACATCCCATGTGGGAAAAGACCTGAACACAACCTGGAATTTCACTGCACTGTCATGCCCATGGAGGAGGATATATCCATGATGCCCCTGGTACACTCTGACCACCTAGTGGAGGTAGAGCTGGAGGAGCATAGAGAAGGAACAGGAAGCATTGAAAGTTTTAATTGTGTGTTGAGTTCCAAGGTAGGTATGAACTCAGCACTACACTCCCTAAGAATCAGTAATACGGCAGCTGTGCATTTAGACTTTGTCCTTACACCTGTTGTCATTACTTACATGTGTGGAACAGCCAAAAAAAGAATGTTTTTCTTCTATGATAGTAGATTACATTAATCTCACTGACTCAAACAAACCCTGTTTTAAAGAGCCAACGTTAACACAAGGAGATCTACCAAATATACTCAATAATACTATATTTTATGAGGGAAGGACGATCTTAATGTCAGCAAAGTTTTTGATAGCACCAAACAGGGACACATTACTTTACCTGAGACTGTGCATTGACATTGGCCCGATTTGTAACCAATACTTTGACTACTTCTGCTTGTCCAGCGAGGGATGCTATGTGCAATGCTGTGTTTCCTTTCTGAAATGAGAGACAGTGATATTTGAAAAGAGTACAAAACCTGGACTTGAATTCACAACAGTACGATCAAGAACATATTCCACTTCAAAATATAGTGTTTCTTGCAATAAAATGCTCTTACTGAATATTTTTAAGGGGTGAGTTATTCCAGAAGACATGGACAGAAACCAAAACATGAATCTACAATTTGTTCAGTAAATGTCATCCCTGGTAATCTGTGACATTTATTATAATCTAAAAAGTTTCTATTACATAACTGTTGAGACCACCCCACCAGTGGAAAATGGGCAATTACTGCTGCTGCAATGTCTGTAATCAGCTGGCTGACACCTTGTGCCCATTCCATCTGTGTGAACAAGGGAACAACTAGATAGGCCTGACTGACCTTTGTTGCTGCATCCACACTGGCACCTCGCTGTATCAGTTCAGAGACAACTTCTACATGTCCTTCTTTGGAAGCGAGATGGAGAGCATTCAACCCGTTCTGGTAAAAAAAAAAAGGAAGGGAAAAAGAGAAAAGCAATGAGAAAGATTGACAAAGGTTTTCCAGTGTACCAAACATATCAGGAGACAAATTACTATATCCCACTGAGATGACTGCTTCCAAAAACTACTCTTAGGCAAACGTTACAAGAACTAGATTATAAGGGAAGAGTAAGAATTAAGTCAAGATATACTAGCTCTGGGGTCTCAAGTTCTGTGTGCTGTCCCATGATCTGATGTAATATAAATGGAATGAAAGATAACATTAAATAGCACCACATTCCCCAAGTGAAATAGTGTCTGAGTAAGGGGTAAAGTTTCAATTGGATAAAATATGCAAACATGGCTCATCAAAAGCATATAAGTTATCTTTGACATGAAGTACAACTATAAAGAGAAATTTGAGAAACAGTGACACAGGTATTTATTCAGCAAATTTGATCAAAATGTTCTTCAACCTGATTTGAAATGTTGATGTCCACTCCATTTTTTAAGTAGTCGAGAGCCTTTTCCAAGTTGCCAGCTCGAGCAGCTCTCAGGTAACTTGCATTTGTGTCAGACTGCAAGAATAAAAGAAAAGTCCCATTAGAAATTACAGCACAGTATAAAAGCACATTAGCTTGGCAAAGAAGCTACTAATGATACAACATATTGTACATACATTTAACTAGACATGAAAGGATCCCAAACCACCTGGGTCAAACCTGTCCCTCCTTGCTTATGCACAGTCCCTCTGGTCTAAATGGACTGTCAACCAGACTAGACAGCACAAGGTTTTCCTTCACACATAAACATGAATTATGTAGCACTGTCTAACACTCAAGGCGAATAGCCAGGGGCACATCTGGTACCCAGCATGGAACACAAACACGGCGAAGCTCAAGACTAGACTCCATGGAAACCATTCTGCTGTTTCCAAAAGTGCCACACCACCTTTAATGCCCAAGCTCAACAGACCAGACCAGTACTGTGAGATCCCACATGACATTGTGCAACCTGAT